TGATGATGAGTCTATGTAAACTTTAAAATCTGATTTTTTTTTTTTTTGGTTGTACAGTTGCATGCAGTTTTCATTGAACTTTGCAACTTTTTATATGCATTGAAATTGAATTATATTGCAATTCTTTTTACAGTTTCTTTTTTCTTTTTGTTGTAAAGATCATGGTTTGTAAAATATCATTCTTGACCGTTTTCAGCACTACTAAGATTATTATGTGAATTTCTTGTCCATAAATAGTGTTAAACTTACATTAATTAATAGTGTAATCAATGTTAATAGGGGTTATAAACTGGTCCTACCATTGTGGGTGCTGGGACGGATACAGACCCAATTCCTGGCATTATTTGCCCAGTGTGGCTATCTCAAACTTGAACCTGTAATCTTATGCTTGACAGCTAGACCTTTCGTTGTTGGACCAGGAAATGTCCCATTATGTTGTGTTGATTTAATGATTCCATAATTATAATTTATTCAAAAAATTTTGAAATTCAAGACTTGGGTGGACTTCCTTTATTGTTCAAATTGTAGTTTATTAATTTTTTGTAGGGCTCTGATTTTGTATTATATCAAAACCATATATTGCATTCTGCAGGTTTTTTACTCCAACAATTAATTACCTTACTTCCAGGGGCCATAATCTACACATTGTGTGCATCTCAACTGGTAATACGTTGATTTTGTTTTATAGTCAATTATAGTTGCAAACCTTTAGGATTTAGATATGCCTTCTTGTTTATAAATAACCTTGGCTTTACTTGAATCAACTTATCATCTATCTACAGAAATTGAACAATAGTAATGTAGGTCGGAAGGAATCTAAGGGGCTCGTATGTCAGCCACAGTAGGTGGTTAAGTCTGAAAATGTTTTGGTAAATTTTTATTAGGTGCTTCAGATTACTCATAAAAAATATCCACTTAAAGAGAGTCAGATGTTTTAGTTAGAGGCACATGACTTATTACTAAATGCTGAATTGCAAGCTAGTTTTAACTTTAATCTTAAAACATTAATTTGTTACATTTTCAATTTTAAATTTTCATACTTGAATTTTCTACATTGTAATTTATCATGCAAAAGTTTGCAGTATAAAATGTTAGTTTTATGAACAGCCCCTATCACATTGAACCAAGTTTGTTTGTTTGTTTTTTTTGTGTGTGTTTTTGTTTGTGTGTGTTACCAAAGCTATGAGCTCACCTAATGGATAGGGGAAGTTCTTTTTTTCATGAATTGGTGCATCTGTGTTGGATCTTGTAAATATACAGCATGTTTGCTAAATTTTGTCTTTGTGGATGAGGCTGTGTAAGTACTTTATAGGTGCTACTTGTGTCATACTTCTTAAATAGAAAATGTAAAGATTTTAAATCGACTTTGCATTGTATCTTTCCTACAAATGTTATGTTCAAATACATCATTTCTTTCTTATTTTGTACTGCTTCAATGTATTATTTCTTGGCTTTTCTTAATTTTTTTTTTATAGTTTTGGCTGTTATGTAGGTAATGCAGATGGCATGGGAAACATCAAGAAAGAAGAGCTCTATCAGGCTTCTTCAGTCCTCAAGGTTATGATTGATCGGGAAAATATTTTCTTTATCTACTGGTGTAATGCTAACCTCTGAGAATGAAAGCTTTCGTTATGCAAGTGTCATCTTTGTCGTCCATTATTTTTATATTATTTTTAAATTGTTCCTTTATCGAAGATTGATAAGCCAAAATAAGGATTTGAAATATGGTTCTAAAGATTAGCCTGTGTTGGTTTTTATATTCTGACATTTTGAATATGTTATTTAGGTTCCACTCCAACAAGTGAAGATCCTGGACCATCCAGATTTGCAGGTTCCTTTCTTAACCTTTGTAAATCCTATTCCATCTTTTGGTACTGTTTGAAATACAATATTAATGCGGAAGTTCAAATTAATCTTTTGTCATTATTAGGATGGTTTTGGCAAAGTATGGAGGTGTGATTTATTGGCAAGAATAATTGAAGAGGAAATTCTTAGTCATGCCATCGATTTGGTAAGATATGGTTGCAGTGCTCATCCAAGTTACTTTGCCGTGGTTTCTTTATTTAGTTTTTTTCCTTGGTATATATTCTACACTTGCTTAGCTGTCTGATGAAGGACTGTCTAAACTTTTGGCTTTTCATTTTCCTGCTAATTGGTGTATGTTTGATCATATTCTGTTCCATACATTACTTTCTATATGGTGCTCTCAGATTATTACTCTTGATAACTATGGTGTTTCTGGTCATTGTAACCATCGTGACGTCAATCAAGGGATACGGTAAGTTGATTTTTGTTTTATTTTACTTACTTTATTTTGAATTGCACTCAATCAATTTCTTGATTTCCTATGTTCAAAGAAATTTATATCAATTTATATCTCCAAGTGAGTGCCTATATCAATTTCTTTATTTTTATATCATGCGCTTGCAGTGCATTCACCCCGTCATATAAAAATAGCCAAAAGATCCTCATGTGGTTTTGGAAATTTTGCACTTTACCTCCTTACTCTGAAAAATTCCATCCACAATAACAGAAAGTGTGTTATACTCACTCACTTGGAGAGTTTGACATAAAAAATTTGGGAGTGCAATTTGGGGGCTTGGTGTGCTATCTCCAAGGTTCAGGTTTAACTTTCAATCTATCAATTTTGTGAGGGTTATAACTACTTAGATTTGTCCGACTCACATAAAGCAAGCTTTCTGTGTAAATTTTAAAATTAGTCGAAATATACATAAATTAATCTGAACTCTTGATCATTTAAAAAAAAAAAAAAAAACTTGTATAGAATTGACATATATAGAATTAAGTTACCCATGTAGAGAGATGTATATGGGGAGTATGAGACGTTCAATTTTGTAACCAATGCTTACTAGTACTAATAATTATTTTATTGGACATGGAGTATTTTATTTTATTTTATTTTGTTGGGCGACGCAGAGCGACAGGCAGCCATTGACAGCGGCACTGAGGTCGTCCACAGCGTAGCTCTCTGGAGGTACCTCCTGCCCTTTCATCTCTTCTCCTCCTATTTCCCACCTTCACTTTTGCAGGTTGTTCACTTGTTTAATCTCATAACTTGTTTGGTTGATTCAATTGAATAATCTGATTAGTTCTTGTAGTTGATTTACTCGATTAATTTGTGAGTTGAGTTGAGATGGAAGGGTTGGTTGGCCTGTTAGTGTTAGGTTTCTTGTTGTTCCCAATTCATTTCTTAACGCTCCGTTTGGATCATTATTTGAATAGATACTATATTTGGAAAGTAAAATGTAAAAAGGTGAGGACAACACGAATGAAAGTTACATTTTTTATTTTTAAATTTCCCTTTTTCTTTCCAAATCTCTACCCCAAATTCATGATTCAAAATATCACATAATTCTCTGTGGGTAATGAAGCTATCCTTCCTGTTGATATGACATGGACGAAGATAATTTTTATAAACAATTGATGTAGATGAACTACACAAACAAACAGCCCCTCGAGTCACTCGAGGAATAGTTTTTTTCAAACAGGGGGGAATGATGTAGGTGACATTTTTTTATTCTTGTATTTTGTTTCTTATTTATTTTGGTATTAGTATTTTTTTAAGAATCTTTTAGTTTAGTATAGAATCCTAGTATCATTATATTTCTCAAATTGTGTTGATTTAACAAGTTTTCTATTTTATTAGTTTATTGTTTTCCAAGAATTAGGTTTATTATAAATAATGGTTGTAAACCTTAGTTAAAAAAAAGAAGCTTTTGATGATTTATAAGACCGTGAGTTGATGATATACTTTTTCTTTCTACCTTGGGTATTCTTTTGGGAATTAATCATTGTTGAGGCTTTATTCTCGGTATTCATTGTGAGTCAACTAGTCTAGAGAAGGATCTTGTTTCTGGGTATTCATCTTTGCAGCAATGAACCCAAAGATCGTTACTATTTCGCGTTTCTTGCTACATCACACTTTCATAAGGTACCCCATAATTATGGAGTCACTAAAGCAGCACATCACATGTTTGATTAAATGTTCCACTTAATGAGGCCCGTAATGGTGCATAATTAATATGAATGCTGCATACACAAACAATATAATGGGTCATACAAAAATTACATGTACGTGTACATATTGATATATAACTGAAATTGCCAGCCAATATATATCTATATACACACACACATCCACATCATTGTTTGGTGGTAGTGACATATTCACATAGTTCTCTCATTCCAGTTCATTTTAGTTTGTGCATTCTCAGTCTCCAAATAATGCTCCATAATTTGTTGTAGGGTATGCTAGATGATGGCATGGCTCACGGTCATTGTTTCATTTTTTGTACTCTGGATAGCTTCGTTGTGCAAGATTCTTCACAAAACACGCTCATCTTCCAAGGCTACATTCTTAAATAATGGTGGTTAAGTGATCCTTATAAAGGATTTTTACACATTGTATTTCTTTAGGCATTTCTTGGTTGGCTTAATACCAGTTTTCCATCAAATTCAGGTGCAGGACTTCGCCGGAAAAATGCATTGCTGGTTATTGCCCATCCTGATGATGAGTCTATGTAAACTCTAAAATCTGATTTTTTTTTTTTTGGTTGCACAGTTGCATGCAGTTTCCATTGAACTTTGCAACTTTTTATATGCATTGAAATTAAATTATATTGCAATTCTTTTTACAGTTTCTTTTTTCTTTTTGTTGTAAAGATCATGGTTGTAAAATATCATTCTTGACCGTTTTCAGCACTACTAAGATTATTATGTGAATTTCTTGTCCATAAATAGTGTTAAACTTACATTAATTAATAGTGTAATTGATGTTAATAGGGGTTATAAACTGGTCCTACCATTGTGGGTGCTGGGACGGATACAGACCCAATTCCTGGCATTATTTGCCCAGTGTGGCTGTCTCAAACTTGAACCTGTAATCTTATGCTTGATAGCTAGACCTTTCGTTGTTGGACCAGGAAATGTCCCATTATGTTGTGTTGATTTAATGATTCCATAATTATAATTTATTCAAAAAATTTTGAAATTCAAGACTTGGGTGGACTTCCTTTATTGTTCAAATTGTAGTTTATTAATTTTTTGTAGGGTTCTGATTTTGTATTATATCAAAACCATATATTGCATTATGCAGGTTTTTTACTCCAACAATTAATTACCTTACTTCCGGGGGCCATAATCTACACATTGTGTGCATCTCAACTGGTAATACGTTGATTTTGTTTTATAGTCAATTATAGTTGCAAACCTTTAGGATTTAGATATGCCTTCTTGTTTATGAATAACCTTGGCTTTACTTGAATCAACTTATCATCTGTCTACAGAAATTGAACAATAGTAATGTAGGTCGGAAGGAATCTAAGGGGCTCGTATGTCAGCCACAGTAGGTGGTTAAGTCTGAAAATGTTTTGGTGAATTTTTATTAGGTGCTTCAGATTACTCATAAATAATATCCACTTAAAGAGAGTCAGATGTTTTAGTTAGAGGCACATGACTTATTACTAAATGCTGAATTGCAAGCTAGTTTTAACTTTAATCTTAAAACATTAATTTGTTACATTTTCAATTTTAAATTTTCATACTTGAATTTTCAACATTGTAATTTATCATGCAAAAGTTTGCAGTATAAAATGTTAGTTTTATGAACAGCCCCTATCACGTTGAAGCAAGTTTGTTTGTTTGTTTTTTTTTTTTTTTTTTTGTGTGTGTTTTTGTTTGTGTGTGTTACCAAAGCTATGAGCCTACCTAATGGATAGGGGAAGTTCTTTTTTTCATGAATTGGTGCATCTGTGTTGGATCTTGTAAATATACAGCATGTTTGCTAAATTTTGTCTTTGTGGATGAGGCTGTGTAAGTACTTTATAGGTGCTACTTGTGTCATACTTCTTAAATAGAAAATGTAAAGATTTTAAATCGACTTTGCATTGTATCTTTGCTACAAATGTTATGTTCAAATACATCATTTCTTTCTTATTTTGTACTGCTTCAATGTATTATTTCTTGGCTTTTCTTAATTTTTTTTTATAGTTTTGGCTGTTATGTAGGTAATGCAGATGGCATGGGAAACATCAGGAAAGAAGAGCTCTATCAGGCTTCTGCAGTCCTCAAGGTTATGATTGATCGGGCAAACATTTTCTTTATCTACTGGTGTAATGCTAACCTCTGAGAACGAAAGCTTTCGTTATGCAAGTGTCATCTTTGTTGTGCACTATTTTTATGTTATTTTTAAATTGTTCCTTTATCCAAGATTGATAAGCCAAAATAAGGATTTGAAATACAGTTCTAAAGATTAGCCTGTGTTGGTTTTTATATTCTGACATTTTGAATATGTTATTTAGGTTCCACTCCAACAAGTGAAGATCCTGGACCATCCAGATTTGCAGGTTCCTTTCTTAACCTTTGTAAATCCTGTTCCATCTTTTGGTACTGTTTGAAATACAATATTAATGCAGAAGTTCAAATCAATCTGTTTGTCATTATTAGGATGGTTTTGGCAAAGTATGGAGGTGTGATTTATTGGCAAGAATAATTGAAGAGGAAATTCTTAGTCATGCCATCGATTTGGTAAGATATGGTTGCAGTGCTCATCCAAGTTACTTTGCCGTGGTTTCTTTATTTAGTTTTTTTCCTTGGTATATATTCTACACTTGCTTAGCTGTCTGATGAAGGACTGTCTAAACTTTTGGCTTTTCATTTTCCTGCTAATTGGTGTATGTTTGATCATATTCTGTTCCATACATTACTTTCTATGTGGTGCTCTCAGATTATTACTTTTGATAACTATGGTGTTTCTGGTCATTGTAACCATCGTGGCGTCAATCAAGGGATACGGTAAGTTGATTTTGGTTTTATTTTACTTTATTTTGAATTGCACTCAATCGATTTCTTGATTTCCTATGTTCAAAGAAATTTATATCAATTTATATTTCCAAGTGAGTGCCTATATCAATTTCTTTATTTTTATATCATGCGCTTGCAGTGCATTCACCCCGTCATATAAAAATAGCCAAAAGATCCTCATGTGGTTTTGGAAATTTTGCACTTTACCTCCCTACTCTGAAAAATCCCATCCACCATAACAGAAAGTGTGTTATACTCACTCACTTGGAGAGTTTGACATAAAAATAAATAAAAAAAAAAAAATCAAACTTTAAGTTAAGAGGACAAATTTGTCCTTCCTTTCTTCATCTTCCTTCTCACACAAAAAACCAGAGAACCCTTGAGGGTTGTCTTTTGTACCTCACCTCTTTAACCCATAGCACCACCACTCCTCCTGTTGAAGGTCACCCCATGTGAAAGGGGTGATCCTCATGTCAACAAAGGAAGACAACCAACCAAGTCAAGCTTGGTGGCCACCAACCATGTCAAAAGTCAAGCTCACCCCACCGCCGTCACTCCCAAAGTCACCACCGCCACCTCACCTCCACTACACCAGATCCACACAAATCATCCCCTTAAAAATCAAAACCAGAACAATTGGACACATATTCCAGTCAACCCAGAACAAGTGCACACACCAATCAACCCATCAAATATCAAACCCAAGTACATTAAAAAATAAAGAAAAAAAGATCAGCATGATCACACAGATCCCTCAGGTTCTCATCTCTGATTCACTGATTCTTTCAACACCCATGGAGTTTAAAGTGTAGATTTTGATGCGTCAAGAACTCAACTTGCTGAGTCGTCTAATTGTTGGGGCAAGAACTTGACCTTGATGTAACACAACCCTTGCCGGAGAAATTTGATCAAGTGGTCCGATGTTTTAGGTGCATCTTCTATGGGGATTTGTGGGATTTAGCTTGTAAAGACCTCTTTTTTGTTAAAATGAATCAGAAAGTTTGTAACGGGCTCTTTGATTATTCCTTTTCTGCACAAATCAAAGTGACTGCCTTGTAACAAATACTGATAAAGTGATGCATGATAATTGCTTAATGGCATATGCAGGGTTGATAATTGTTAGAATATAAAATTAAGTTTAAACTTATAATTTAGCTTATAAAATTAAGATGTTTGGGTTAATATGCGATGTAATCGGTTAGTATGTGACTAAGATAAAAATATTGGCTTTTAAAATCAGGGTGTTTAGGTTAATGTGTGATTTAATTAGTTAATATACAATTAACATAAAAGGTTATATCTATAATAGAAGAGAGGGAAAGAGAAATAAGGTAGAGGCGTATTAAGGTCATTCTTCACTTACTGTTAACGGAATTAGTG